GAGTGACACTAGATGACTAGCTAGGAAACTCACTCACCTAGGTAGTTTACTAAGGTGCTAGCTTACTTCACTAGCCACCTATGTCATCTTAAAGCAACCACACGCATCATGTGCAAATCATGTGGCTGAGGATGCATCATAGCAAGGCATGGAAGAGCACATTCAATCAAGGTCATGTGTTTTCATTAAAAAAACATGTGACTTCTTTTTGACTTCAAACAAGGCATCCGAAAACCACTCATTTGGGCGGCAACTATGAAGAGAAACATAACCATTCGACCAAGACTCCTACGCCACTCATTTAAACACTCCAAGGCCAAAACATCATCACCATTCGGCTAGAATAGGGATCAAGGCCAACTGAACCAACACAGGCACAAAAGAACATCTTTATTTGTAATTTAAACACATATTTTTCATAAGGGACATGAGCATGGTCGAACCATTAGATGTTTATTCGACCATATCCCTTCATTTTCTATAAATTTCCAATGCCTTGGCTTTTGTAAGGCATCTATCTTTGCATTATCTAATATACTTGTGAGGCTTTCCTCTTTTCTTAAGTTCGGTAGAACTTTTATCGATTTATCAAGTTTTTTTGGATCTTGTGGTGTCAACCCTTTCTTCCATTGATACTTTAGGTCATTTTGATTCAAGATATCAAAGTGGTCAAAGTCCTTTACTATCACCCCTTGTTCAATTTATAAGTATTGGTGTTAGGCTTTAATATAGCCTAGTTTCTCCCTTTAATTGTCCAAGATACCTTTTAACCCTTCCATCTTCATTCTTAAGCCCATCACCACGCCCCAAACACTTTCGTAATCATTCTTTCTTACATTCATCACAAACAATCCTCCATTTCACCTTAACATCAACTACCAAGCCCTCTATTTGAGCCCATCTTCTTGCAAGTACTTACTCTCTCACTAGATTCACAATCAAAGGCAAGAGTGCCTTACATCATTAACATATCTATAATTCCTTTCATGGTAACATGTATGTATATATATATATATATATATATATATATATATATAATACACAAAGAACCCATATGCACGACATCCTTCAGAAATTTATACACGAGTTTTATAATAATTAATATTAATTAATATTAATTATATAGTTAACAATACCAGAGGGAGGGGTATGGTATTGTTGGATTATTCCCCTCAAGATAGAATGAATCAAACGATACAAATATTATATCCTTCCAATTTTTATGACATATTCATTAACTTGAATGAGAGAACCCTAAACAAACATCATAATTGATTACAAAATGTTTAAAGGAAAATAGTTTAGACCAAAATAATATTTTATTCCGGGATGTAGAATATTACATAAATCTTTAGCAACTCTAAGGTATAGATATAACGTTGGCCAAAATCATATACTCAGATTGTTGTAAAGAATCAGAAATTTATCAGAACTCGTAATTGCTTATGAACTTGGAAAAATATTTACATGACATATATGATTCCCCACGAGTTACTTCTTAGGAAAGATGGTATTCATAACATATATAGAGATTTCTTTTTTTTTTTCTTTTAAATTAAAATTGAACATAATTTTGAAAACCGGACATGAACAAATTTTCTTTACAAGAAAAAATCAAGAATGAATTCAAATTTTCTGATAAAATTCATTCGATAAGGGTTAAAAAGTACTAAAAAGAAACAATCGTTTTAGTTCAGACGAATGCTATTTTTTTTACAACCAACAGATTCAAGCTTGAAAGAATTTGTAACTTCTCATTGAAATATTCTCATGTAAGAAAGTGAACATTTTGAAATATTTTCTTTGAAAATGAGAAATAACTACCTAAGCAGAATAGTAGACCTAAGATATTATCATATCATATCGGTCAGAATGAATTAATTATTGTTTTATTTCACCTAAATCGAATTCAAAAAAAATTTAATAACACTGAATTATGACCGCTAATTAACTAACGATTAGTCGCTAGAGTCTAGATTTTACAACCGAAGTAATCAATAAATGTGTCTAAATGACATCAGAGTCTCATTTTATTTATTTTTTTCGAAAATAATTTTCCATGAAATATCACTTTCAAAATTATTTTAAAAAAGTTTTCATAATCATAGTGTAACACCCCCGACCCTTACCTGACCCGGATACGAATATGAGGTGTCACATTAATTTTTTAACTCTTTGACTCTTTGAAAATTTTGACTAAAAGTAACCCTCAAAATCCAGCCTAAGAGTTACAATTGAATCAGAGTGACCATGTTGAACTCATAAATATTCTATGAATGAAATTTATGCAATAAATCGTTTTAAAAACAATATCAAATATGATATTAGAAATAAACACATGCCACATTTAAAAGAGGTTGAAAATATATATTAAACACCTGATACCAAGTTGATCCCATAATTGAATAATCTGAAAAGGAAAGACTAAAACAAAGTAAGCTACAAAGCTCAGTATGTCCACTAGATAAGTTAGAATATTTTACAAACAGAATATCGCAACAAAAATCCACAATCTTGCATTTCGTTCTGAATTAACATGATATGAATGGTTCCTTATAAAGAGGTTCCCAAACAGAATGCAAAAATCAAGATAAGTACATAGCCCTCTCTAGAGGATCCCAATCAGAAATAAAATGGGGATATCACCCTCCATGGATGATCCCATCAGAAACAGAAATTAGAACGGGGATATAAACTTTTGAAGAGGATCCCAAATAGAAATAGGATGGGATAATGTCCTCTGCAAAGGAATTTAGTAATAGGACGAGAATTATGTCCTTCGTAGAGGATCACATGATGAATTAGGAATGCATCAATATATAGATTAAAAGTGATGCAACATTAATAAAAAAATCAATCATAACCCAAATAAGTCCAACCAAAATACATACATGTGTACATATATCATCATACAACATAATAGTATATAATATTAAAGGTATCAAACATGTCAAGGGGACACACCTATAGTAGCTAATCAAAACCGGCTAAGTCTTATGCTTCCCACGATCAGTTACATTGGGTCCTATGAAATGAGTACCTAAAAATAATACAACTCTATGAATACAGAACTGAACTGAGCAGAATGTGAGTGGTTGAGATTTACTGGAGAGCAATGCGGAGACACGGGAGCACCTTAAGAAAATAATACAAAAACGTGAGTCCAAAATCTCACAATTTACTTAATATAATTATGACTTTAATAAATAAATGACGCAAAATAGGGCTTTTAGGTTAGAATTTGAAAAAATATACTATGGAAACGAGCTCAGAACGTTGAAAACATAAAATATGGGTCTTCAGAAAAAAGTCAACAGAAAAAGTCTATGGTAAAGTCAACAATCAACGGGTTGGGTCAAAGTTAACTAGTCAGGTTAACGAATCAATCGATTTGATCAATAATTCAATCAGACCGGTTCAGGATTGGTTCAAGACTAGTTCAGGGTCAAACTAGTTCAAAAAGATCAATTCACTATCTAAGCTAACAAAATGAAGCCCACTCATGCACGACAGGGCGTGGGACCTCTTCCGGTGGCAAAAAAATCATAGAAAATTTCTAAATATATTTTAAGGCATGAGGAGTCACTTATAAGCATCGATTTTTTAAAAGATCAACAAATATGGGGTTTTAATGAAACTCAAATATTCAAACCTTCATCGATTGCAAACAATGATGGAGAACAATAAGCCAAGAATATAGGATGAACGGGGTCGATGAAATGAAAGCAATGGAGCTGGAGGTGTCCAACGCCATCTCACAGTTAGTGACGAATCGAAGAAAAACAAAAAAAATGGGTGGAAAGATAGAGAGAAACAATTTATGACTTTTAAAAAATGTTGGGAGAAAAATGCAATTAAAAAATTGAATTTGGTTTTTGAACATTTTATCCTTGGTCTAATTACAACATAAATCCCTACACTTTCAGGGCACTCACAGAATGACACCTAAATTTTATAAGATTTATATTTAATCCTCATTTTAGGGTGTAACACCAATGTAGATATCATTTGTGGTGGTGGAGGGGTATGATATTAGTGGTGGAGGAGAAAATACAGGATTCATTGAAACTGAGAGACTAGACCTTGCTAAACTAGAACGAGCCCTAAAGCAAGGAAAGGTTTTGTTAATGGAGGTGGAAGTGAAGTTGAAGTCCATGTCTGTATATGAAAAATATGTTTCTTCTTCTATTAGTTCTTGGTTTTCAGTTAGATTTCACTTTGGCAACAACACTAAAGGTTGAAAAAAGCCACGCTTCCCCTACCATACTTGTTCATATTTTGGTTTTCACAGCAACACCAGCCCCAACAACAAAACAAAACAAAAGATGAAGAAGAAAGACAAACAAGAGAGGAGAGTCAAACGGTTGGTCAGAAGGTATCTCGCATGGTCAAATAGTGCTAGCTTAGTTGATTTAACATGTCACATCAGCATTTTTTATTGCAGTAATAGTTATTAACGACGAGTGATCGATTTATTAAAAATTGATAACGGTAGTGACCAATTTATTACTTTTAAAACTTTAGTGGGGAAAAACAAGAACTTACTCAAATATTAGTGACTATTTGTGTAGTTTACCCTTTAATAATAACAACTAAAAAAGTGTTGTTACCATAAACTAGTTTGCCAAAATGAAAATAGTTTTCCTTCATCTTTATATTGTGTGTAAACTATGGTTTTAGTCATTATATTCTAATTTAATCAATTTTAGTCCCTACACTTTTTAAATTTTTAAATTCCTATCATAATTCAAAAATAAAATGACATTATAACAAATTTACAATGTTAATATGAAAAATAACTATCACATAGGTACTCAAACTTGAAAAAAAACTAATTTAGTCTGTTTGTCACATCATCAGCCACGTTGAAGTATCATGTCAGTATCGTAACGGTCAACGATGGAAATCGTTGGTCAAATAACTACATTTGGTTCATTTTATAAGTTAGAGGGCCACGTCGAATGCAAAACAATATCGAGGGCTACATTGGTCTTTTTAGACAATTACAATAACCTCAAGTACCATTTTGCCAAAATAACACATCTAAGTATATATTTATGTATTCATATGTCCTCTCCCCCCCCCCTAATTTAACAGTCCCTTCCCTATAGTTAAAAAGAGAAGATTCTCTTTCACTAAAGATTTATTCCACCATTCTTCTTTAATGGCCGAACTACCTTCAACCGATGCATGGCTTCAACCTTGTTCACGGCCCATTTCGGCTGAGTTTTCCGAACACAAAAATATAACATTACCATTCCTAATGTCATCCCGCATCCGTACTCCATTAACAATGCTTTCCACCAAAATCCTTTTTCACTTTCTTCACTAGATTTTGATCCATTTTCGTTTTCCAACTTTAATGCTGGAACAGTTGGATCCTTCCATTTGGACACTCGGCTCTGCAACAATGGATTCCCCAAATAAGATTCTTCCTCGAATGTCGCTAGTTGCCCAAAATCTGGAATTTTTCCAGCAATCTGAGGGTTGAATGAAATGTTGAACTTGCTTAGCTCGTTCAAGCTGTTGAGGTTACCTGGAAATGTGCCTGAAAACTCATTGTGTGACAAATCAAGATTCTGTAAGCAGTTCAGGTTCCCAATTTCCATTGGAATTTCTCCTGAAAATTTGTCCCAGGAGATATTTAAGACCACAAGCGGCAAGTTCCCAATCTCTGTAGGAAGTTTCCCATTGAATTGATTGTAACTCAAATCCAACACACTCAAATGCTGCATGTTACCAATACCTGAAGGGACCTCCCCTGAAAATCGATTCCCAGTGAGTTGAAGATATCCCGAGACTCGATATTTTCGAACAGGTGAATCTTTGACACAAACTTGGAAAAAACCATGTCCTTGAAGCAACTGATTCCATATGTTCTTGCAAATCTTCCTGGTAAGAATTGTGTATATAAAACCAAAAGGGGAGTAATCTATTGTTAGCAACCTCTCGGTCACCAAGCAGTCGCTAGGACCGGTAACCATCGGGTTACTTTGGCGGTTCGATTCGAATGTTGGAGTGGGATTTCTTCCAATATTTGTTAACCGATGGGGTAATCTTCCGGATAGTTGATTGTTGGCTAGGTTTAGCCACAATAAACTTCTGCAGTTTCCAAGCTCTCCAGGGATTTCACCAGTGAGTGAGTTGTTTGCAAGCATTAACCACAAGAGAGATCTTAAGTTTCCGATGGAAGGCGGAATCGATCCGACGAGCCGATTGAAGGAAAGATCAAGAGCTTGTAGTTGGGACAAGTCTCCATACTGTGGTGGTATGGCACCAGTAAATTGGTTGTAGGCCAAGACTAAGAACTTCAAGCCTACCATTTGTGAGATTTCAGCAGGTAAAGGTCCAGAAAAATTGTTGTAGCTTAAGTCTAGTCGAGATAGATTTGTTAGCTTGTGAATCACGGAGGAACTTAATCCATCTGTATATGAATTCCCTTGAAGAACAAGAGATTTCAACTGTTTGAATCGACCAAAAATCTCTTGCATTTGTCCACCAAAATTGTTCATACTCAAATCAAGAACGGCCAAGTTCCTAAGATTCAAAAGAGATTCCGGAATCACTCTGGAAAAAGAGTTGTCTCCCAATAGTAAGCCTTCAAGGGTGGAAATCGATCCAAGCTCTGATGGAAGTGACCCTGAAAATTTGTTTCCCCACAGGTTCAACATAACCAAATTCTTACAACTCGAAATCTCCCTGGGAAGTTCTCCCCGGAACTCGTTTACCGATAAATCCAAGCCTTTCAGAGCACAATTCTCTGAAAAACTTGAAGCAGGAACTGGTCCGGTGACAAAGTTTTCAGAAACTGAAAACTCCACTAGCCTTGAAAAACCTGTCCAAATATTACCAGTAAACTTGTTGGAGCTCAAATCTAGATACTGCAGATTCAAGCACCCATCAAAGAACTCGTCGATTCTACCGGAAAAATCGTTCATCGAGAGGTTTGCAACAACAAACCTGTTGCAAATTGCAGGGAAACTAAAGTTAACCTCACCATGAAACCGATTAGTGGATTGTTATGTATGGCTCATAAAAAGTCTCGTTGTGGGGTTACGAATTATGTGGGTTGGGGGTGTGGGGGCGCAGCCCCCGCGGTACGGTATAGGGTTGATTTTGTAATTATGTACCAGGGTTTTCTATTATAAATAGAGATGTAACCTAGACCTAAAAAGATCATTGAATAAAACTTCTAGCGCCGCCTAGGCACCGAGGACGTAAGCACATTGCCGAACCTCGTAAAATTCTCGTGTTCTTTCGTTTTCTTTACCCGTTTTCGTCAACAATTGGTATCAGATGTCAGGAGCAAAATTCGAAGTCGCGAAATTCGATGGTCAGGGTAACTTCGGATTATGGCAAACGAGGGTGAAGGATCTATTGGCGCAGCAAGGGATCTTGAAGGCTTTGCGACCTACAAAGCCGGCGTCGATGGATGAGGAAGATTGGGAAGAATTGCAGCAGCGAGCGGCAGGAACCATACGATTATGCTTGGCGGACGAGGTCATGTATCACGTCATGCATCTATCGTCTCCAGACGAAATTTGGAGGAAGTTGGAAAGTCAGTTTATGTCCAAATCCTTAACGACAAAACTGTATCTGAAGCAGCGGTTGTATGGGCTGAAGATGCAGGACGATCACGATTTGGCGCAACACGTGAATGTCTTCAATCAAATCGTTTCTGATCTGGCTCGGCTTGATGTGAAAATTGAGGATGAAGACAGAGCGATGATTCTGTTGTGTTCGTTGCCTTCCTCTTACGAACACATGGTGACTACTCTTACATATGGGAAAGAGACTATCAATGTTGAGGAGATTACTGCAGCCTTGTTGGCTCACAACCAGCGGAAGCAGAATGCAGGGGAAAGCTCTCAAGCCGATAGCTTATATGTCAAGGGTAATCGAGATCGTGGACGGAAGCCAGAGAAGGCAGGGTCCGGGAAGCGGAATTCCAGATCCAAATCCAGGGATAAGAAGACGATTCACTGTTACAAGTGCAAGGAGGCGGGACATATGAAGGGAGACTGTCCGAAGTTGAAAAAGCAGACCGATGAGAAGCGTGATGGCTCATCCAAGTCTGTGAACGTGGTCGAGGATGATACTTCTGATTGCAGTGAGGGTGATATGCTTTCTATTTCAACGACACAATTGACGGATGCTTGGATTCTTGATTCTGGATGTTCTTATCACATCACGCCAAATAGGGAATGGTTTTCGACATACAGGCCGGTTAATTCTGGTTCGGTTTATTTGGGTGATGATCGATGTTGCAATATTGTTGGTATTGGTGATGTCAGAATTAAGATGCACGATGGCTCCGTTCGGACGTTGAGTGGTGTTCGACATATCCCAGACTTGAAGAAGAATTTGATTTCCTTGGGCACTTTGCACAAGAATGGTTTTATCCCTAAGGCTGACGAGGATAGGGAAACCATTCGGATTGTTAAAGGAGCATTGACTGTGATGAAAGGCAAGATGACTGCAGGGAATATCTACAGATTGTTAGGGAGTACCGTTGCAGGTGGAGTTCACTCTGTTGAGTCCTGTGATGATACGACAAAATTGTGGCATATGCGCCTTGCTCATCTTAGTGAACGTGGTATGGCAGAATTACACAAGAGAAACTTGTTGCATGGTGTCAAAAGCTGTAAGCTCGACTTTTGCAAGTATTGTGTTCTTGGTAAACAGACTAAAGTCCGTTTCAAGACTGCGAAGCACACAACTCAAGGGATTCTTGATTATGTGCATTCTGATGTATGGGGGCCTTCCATGACATCGTCTTTGGGTGGATCTAGGTACTATGTTACTTTTATTGATGATTTTTCACGGAAAGTTTGGGTGTATTTTTTGAAACAGAAATCTGAAGTTTTTGAGAAGTTCAAGCTGTGGAAAGCTGAGGTAGAAAACCAAACAGGACGAAAAATCAAGTGTTTGCGGTCTGACAATGGTACGGAGTACACAGATTCACAGTTCCTACAATTCTGTAAGGAGCATGGGATTCAGAGGCATTTTACAGTGCGCAAGACACCACAACAGAATGGTGTTGCGGAACGAATGAACAGGTCGTTGAATGAAAGAGCCAGATGTTTGCGGTTGAATGCGGGGCTTCCCAAACACTTCTGGGCTGAGGCTGTTAACATGGCATGTTACCTTATCAACAGATCGCCAAGGGCATCGCTGGCTGGGAAAGTTGCAGAAGAGGTATGGACTGGTCATGATGTTAGTTTTGATAACTTACGGATTTTTGGTTGTCCTGCTTATGTGCATGTACCTGCTGATGAGAGATCCAAACTTGATGCAAAATCGAAGGAGTGTATTTTTCTGGGTTACAAGAAAGGTGTCAAAGGATTCAAGTTCTGGGATCCAGTTGCGAAGAAAGTTGTGATTAGTAGAGATGTCGTTTTTGATGAACAGTCTATGTTGCAGCAGAAGCAAGACACGACAGTGGTAGATTTCGAGCAGTTTCCAGTTGAGAAACCAGAAACTTCTCAACCGACTTCTGGTGGTTCCACTACGGATGATTTGCAGGATTATAGTCTCGCCAGAGACAGGGTGAGACGGACGAATATAAAGCCTCCGAACAGATTGGGTTTTGAAGACTTGGTATCTTTGCACTTACTGTTAGCAGTGATGATCCAGTTACTTTTCATGATGCCGTTACTAGTCAGGAAAACGACAAGTGGATGGCAGCCATGGTTGAGGAGATGGAGTCTTTGAATCACAATCGCACATGGGAGTTAGTTCCCCTTCCTGAGGGTAAGAAGCCGATTGGTTGCAAATGGGTGTATAAGAAGAAACCAGCAGTAACAGAAAAAGAGGGGGAGAAGTTCAAGGCTCGTTTGGTAGCGAAGGGTTTTTCACAGCAGAAAGGAGTTGATTATGATGAAATCTTTTCTCCTGTGGTCAGGCACACTTCAATCCGAGCAGTACTTGCATTGGTGGCTAGTTGGGATTTGCATTTAGAGCAGATGGATGTTAAAACTGTTTTTTTGCATGGTGATTTAGAGGAGCAGATCTACATGCGGCAACCTGAAGGTTTCACTCAACCTGGAAACGAACATTTAGTTTGCAGATTGAAGAAATCTTTGTACGGGTTAAAACAGTCTCCGAGACAGTGGTATAAACGGTTTGACTCCTATATGATCAAGATTGGCTACAACCGATGTGAGTATGATTGTTGTGTCTATGTTAAGAGCCTTGATGATGGTTCTTTTATTTTTCTATTACTGTATGTTGATGATATGTTGATTGCTGCGAAGAACATGGATGATGTTATCGGTTTGAAAACTTTATTGAGTCAGGAATTTGATATGAAAGATTTAGATGCTGCAAAGAAAATTCTTGGAATGGAAATTTGCAGGGACAGAGACTCAAGGAAACTGCGGCTATCTCAACGGGGTTATGTTGAGAAAATGCTAGAAAGGTTTGCGATGAGCAGCGCAAAACCAGTTAGCACTCCATTGGTGAATCACTTTAAGCTCTCATCAGAACAGTGCCCCAAGACAGATAAGGAAGCTGAAGATATGGCAAAGGTTCCGTATTCTAATGCTGTTGGCTGCTTGATGTATGCGATGGTATGTACTCGTCCTGATTTAGCTCATGCTGTTAGTCAAGTTTGTAAGTACATGTCTAAACCTGGTAAGCAACATTGGGAAGCAGTCAAGTGGATCTTTCGGTACTTAAAGGGTACTGTGGGACATGGAATTGTTTTTGGGAGTCAGCGGGATAACCCTTTGGTTGTAGGATATGTGGATTCAGATTATGCAGGTGACTTGGATAATAGAAGATCTACGACAGGGTATGTGTTTACTCTTGGTGGAGGGCCTATTTGCTGGAAGTCTACTGTTCAATCTGTCGTGGCACTATCTACAACTGAAGCTGAATACATGGCAGCGGCTGAAGCTGCAAAAGAAGCTTTATGGCTTACTGGTTTAGTGAAGGAGTTGGGTGTTCAACAAGGTGGAGTTCAATTGCTTTGTGATAATCAAAGTGCTATTCACTTGGCTAAGAATCAGGTGTATCGTGCTAGAACTAAACATATTGATGCAAGGTTCCACAAGATCAGAGAGTTGGTTGCATCTGGAGAGGTTTTGTTTCAGAAGGTACATACTGATGAGAATGCCGCTGATATGTTCACCAAGCCAGTTACGACAGACAAGTTCAAGCATTGCTTGGACTTGTTGAATGTTTCGAGTTGTTAAAGAAGCAAGGTAACCCAACCCACATTGAAGTTTCCAAGGGGCAGGATATTCGCCAAGGTGGAGATTTGTTATGTATGGCTCATAAAAAGTCTCGTTGTGGGGTTACGAATTATGTGGGTTGGGGGTGTGGGGGTGCAGCCCCCGCGGTACGGTACAGGGTTGATTTTGTAATTATGTACCAGGGTTTTCTATTATAAATAGAGATGTAACCTAGACCTAAAAAGATCATTGAATAAAACTTCTAGCGCCGCCTAGGCACCGAGGACGTAAGCACATTGCCGAACCTCGTAAAATTCTCGTGTTCTTTCGTTTTCTTTACCCGTTTTCGTCAACATGGATAAATCAAGCTTCTGTAAACTGGTCAACCGAGTCAACATTAGCTCACCACCAAGAATATTATGTGATAAGTTGAGGTATACGAGGCTGTGGCATCTGTTTAGATCGTCTGGAATCACTCCCTTTAGTGTGTTTCTCGACAGATCGAGATGTTGAAGATGAGTCAAAGCTGAGAAGTTGTTGAACATTTCCCCAGAAATCTTGCTGTTAGAGAGGTTAATACCAGTAACTCTATCAGGAGAGCAGAAGATTCCATGCCATTCGCATGGATTTGAGCTCCACAGATTCCATTCCGAGTACCTTCCTCGATTCACTCGGTTTTGTTTTTCCAGAAATGATTTCAAGTTGAGCAGGATTTCTTTGTCTGTGCTTAGAGAATTTCCTGAGACAGTAAAAACAGCTGCAAATCCAAAGAACAAGTTCAACATAAGCAATCCATATCCTATTTCATAAAAAAAGGCTCAAAGTAACTACAAGAACCCAAGATTTAAGTAATTAGTGAGAACTAATATAACAAAGTTTAAGTAATTTAGTGAGAACTGAAAGAAGAGTGTTATCTTGAACCTGTGATTAGGAGTAAGACCCTGAGCATGACTATGGAAATTATGGTCTTGTCTTCTAACATGGTCTTGTTTTGCTTATTCCTGTCTGAAAAATTAAGCTTGTAGGAACGAGTTCTTTAAAGAGCAAACAATCAACGGAAACATGAAATCCCAGATTAAAACAAATATGGATTCTTCTCTTGAAAATTATGGGAAATAAGAAGGAAAATTACTAAGAATTGTGACCTTAGAAGAGTCGATTGGTCGTAATGAGTACGTAGTTTTGATATAATCCAGCTTGATTGACCCGGTTATATGCTCGACTTGACTTTGCCAAAACAAAATTCGAATGGTCAAGGCACAAAGCCGTGTTTTCTCAGTAATTTAGATCCCAACGTCTTAATTACTACTGGTAATAATAAATTAAATCATGTTGGTTTCATAAATTAATAATAATGAGAAAGCTGATTTGACATGCGTGACTTTTTCCCCTTATGTCCCCACTCCTTTAGCCGGCATTTTAGGTAATATATTTTCCAGGCCGACAGTATAATAGCTATCTTACAACAACTTTGCAAAACAAAATGACAACTATATTTCGTTACCAGGAGAGTTATTCAAACAACAGGCAATGGCTGCACTGCTAATAGATAAAAAAAAGGGAAAAAAAAAACTAAAATAGCAAACTTCATGTGTTGTGGCCTTGTGGGCACAGTGAAGTGCAAGTTGGTATGAATCTGAATCTCTGGTTGGATTATAGATTTTGGGCTTCATTCTTACTTCACATGAAACTAATCAAGCATGGAGCAATTCTTGTGTTTTCATTTTTTTTTCCTTCAATGATATCATTTTCAGTAGGGTAAACTACTCCTTGGTATATATTTTACATGGAGCAATTGTTGTGTCCTACATATTCTTGTATTTTGCAAACCGAAAAATAATTATAATGATATCAACATTAAAATAGATCACACATAAAAGACGAGATTTAATATAGTTTTATCTTATCTACCCTATAGATAAGAAAAATAATAATCTACTATAAATATAGATATTACAAAGAGTGCAAGTACATGGTATCTCATTTATCTCAAAATTCAATATATAAATATTAAAATCCGATATATCCCAAAATATTTTTCAATACATCTACAGAACTCATTTTTCGTAACGTAAACCTCAAATACTACACAAACTATAAAATGATTATATCTCTCTAAAAATAATTTTCCCATGATTCTAAATTCTAAAAGATCATCAAAATACTTGGTTATCAAGAATATTTGTTCATAAGAATTATTAGTTAAATAAATTTAATCACCGTGTAATAATCTTTTATTGGTAGAAGTCCAATAAAATACAATTTGATTTTTTTAATTATAATTTGAGTAAATATTTAATAATCTCTCCTTGAAACAAATTTTATTAAAAAAAATCAATCTTTGAATTTTCAATAAATTCAATTCTTGCGAAAGTCTTATTCATTAAAGTTTCACTGACAAGTTTTTAACAGCTTAAATTTTTATGTAATATTCTTTGAAGAACCGCTAAATTAATTGAGAATTACTCTCTTACAAATAAAAACTCATTGCAACAAAACTTATCTTACATGTCTCCATTACCACAAACTTTCAGTAATAATTTTTTTTAAAAATTTTATAACTTGAACTATAGTTCTTACATCACTTGTTAGTGATTTATAAGAGAAAAATAATCAAAACGATATCAATGTAGAAATAGATCACACACAAGAGACAATATTTAATATGGCTCGATCTTTCCTACCTCTACTGTTTATAAAAATGATAATTCACTGTAAACATTAAGATCACATAGAGTACATATTCATAATATCTCATGTATTTAAAAACTCAATATATATATCAAAATCAAGTGTGTCCCAAAACACACTTAATATTCATACAAAACTTATTTTTGTAATGTAATTCCTAAAATTTTTTATTACATTTAAAAAAAATAATTTTCGCTCATAGTTATATAGTTTAAACATATTGTTTATTTATAAAGTCAAATATGGGGTCACCAATAGTTGTTATTCCATAAAAAATTTAACTAAATAAACTTTAATCACCAAGTAATTTTTAACTAGTAGAATTACAATAAAATACAAATTAACTTCTAATTAGAATTTGAGTCAATGTAATAATTTTCTTATAATTCTAAAGGCTATGAGCCAAATACTTTGTCATCAAACATCATTATTCTATAAGAAGTTTTTAACTAAATAAACTCAACCACCAAGTAATCTTCAATCAATAGAATTACACCAAAATAAAAATTAATTTCTACCTGAAATTTGAGTTAATATCTAATACTTTCTGCTTTGGTTACTCGACTATCTTTTTAAATCATACTTAACTTATATTTTGTTTCTGTTTTGATAAATGTAGTTAAGTTTGACCATTGACTTAACAAAAATAATAATGTGACATAATATGATAACCATTTTAATATCAAAACTTATGATTTCTATCCAATTGATCCCAATTCAAAATAATTTACATGCAACATCAAATAGATTGTTTTAGTATCAGAAAATTTACATATTTACTCTAAAGATTGTTTTAGGTGACTTTCAAATAGATTTATATGCAACATCAAATTATGCAAATTTACAATAGTGATCAATTTAGCTCTTTAATTTGCATATTTATGATTCATAACAAGTCAAACATACATACAAAGGTTCTAGAAGTCTTAATCATGCATCATATACTTTAATGCTATGTAGAAACATTATAATCTCAAAAATCATCATACTTGATTATTAAAAGCGTAGAAAATATGACTTCACAAAATCAAGTAAACATTGTAAATTTAAGGCCAAAATTATAAACAAAAATATACAAGGCCATAAATATGCACCTCATGCAACATTAACTCTCCTTACTAATTGTACTTAAGCACTACATGGAACATTAATTCTCCTTACTAATTGTACTGAAGCACTACATGGAGACACTCAGTCGTGCTTAAAATGGCAAAATCAAACAAATCAACATGACAAAGTAAAATTTCATGAAATTAAAAATTTTACCACTTGAATTAAGGTAATTTGATTAGGCCTCCCTTTATTCAAGGGTCATTCCTTCTTGTGTGTGTATAGCTTCTAAAATTATTTACTTTACTCAGCTCCAACACACCTACAATGGATAATTATACATGTTTTGGTACCCAAATTGTTTTGGGTCCATTGAAATTAATCTAAAACAATCTAGTCTCAAGAAAAGGGGTTAAACTTGTACTTTACAGTGATGATTGAGCATTGGCCAAGATTAGATGGCAAGATACAACCGTGTAGAGATTGAGATTTTACCTTGGTTGTTTAGAAAAAAAAAAATTGAAATTGATAAATAATGTTATTCACATGATCTGCAAGATAAAAGAAATAGTAGCAGCACTTATGCCTATTAATGCAGAAGCATACTTGAGAGATATCATGTTCCAACGGATAGAAGAAAAGAAATGACAAAATGAACGATAAAAAATAAGCTGACATGAAGAGAGACCAACGACTACAACTGTTTGGGTAAAAAGATGAAACCTACGGAGAATGTCTGGATTGAACAAGGGAGAGAACAGATAGAGATAAAACAAAAAATGTAAAGGTAGCTTTGTGAAAATAGCAGCTTCATAAAGACTAATTGCAAAACCGGTTAATAAGAAACATACTATTAAAAAATCGAACCAAATGAGAAAATCTTTCAAGAAGTTAGCTAACATTAACGGCATCAAAACTTCAAAAGTTAAAGCTAGATAGCATGAAGAACAAAGCATTCATATGAATCAGATTTGTAATTACAAACAAAAAGTAAACGCAATTGAACATAATACACCCACATAACTATCTTCGAACTGTACGAGCAGCAGTTTCACCCGAAAGCAATAGAGGCAACAATAGATGTGGACACAACATCAATTAGAAAGCACAAGGAAAAAGAATTACAGCATACGTACAACTAAAAGAAGATGAAACCATCAAAAGCATCATCAAAAGATCTTATTGTATTGGCTAGTGAGAGAATCTCTGAGATTAGAATAAAGGCCGAACAGTGAGTACTGCCGAAGGTTCTCAACTTCATACCATGAGTTCAGGGCAGAAAGGTGCTTATCTGTTCCAGAAAATGCTAGTTGTATACCGATGCTGCAATCAACAGAACCTCCATGGTTTTTACAGTTGTTTGTATTAATTGCACAATCTTGTTTGTTTAGGCAAATAAAATTTGATTTCCCCGGACATTGTTTGCAGCCATCCCTTTTCCAAAACAAGTTTTGCAGCCTGCCTTTCTTAAACTCGAGAACCTGCATAAACGAGACCACTATCAGTTTCTGAAGACAATTACCAGGGTAAAAAAAACCAATACCATGAAATCAGAAAAATGAATTCTTCTTAGTTCCTTACAAGAGTGAAGCTTGTTACGGTGTAGGTTCCGTTTGCAACGAAAGCAGGAAGGGACCTTGCAGCATATTTTCGACCAGCAAATGCAACCATATACCCACCAACCGAGTCCTGAAAATACCAAAAGCTCCAGGCATTATTATATCATATTCGTGTGATAGAACTGCGACTTCCCTGTATAAAGAAGTGCCTTAAATTCATGATTTAGGTTGGAATAAAATCAACAATTTAGGCACTGTTTGGTATTCACCTTTACTAATTACTACAAACATCACTTATTTTCAATAATAAAAAGGGTGATTTAAACATATACTACTTTAATCGTTTTCTCAATTTTAGTCAACTTAGATTTTACTCTTATCTCATCTGCTTCTGCGAAATAAGCAAGACACAAAACGGCACCTTAAAGATCTAAGTAAACTCATAACTTACATTGAATTCCAACCATGGATCATCAGATCCCATCATTCTCGAAACTTTGTAATAAAAATTTTCAAGAAATTATTTAAAATAAAAAGGATAGGCTAAGAGCGTGGACTGACCGGAGAAAAAGAAGATGTGTTGATCGTGAGGAGAGAGATCTCGTCAACTTTAGGTCTAAAGAGAGCGAGGCGAGAGCCGGAGTTCGTTAGCGAGAGCCGACGATCGCAAGGAGACAACTGAAGCGAGCTGTTGAAGTAGAACGATGTCCTTGGTGCGAACGCGATCCCAAAAGTGAACCCATCCGATACCTGGACTCTCGTGTCCGAACAAGGCAAGTACGCGTGATTCGTGTCGTCGCTTGAATCAGCCAAACGTGGCGGCGTCGCCGCCGTCAACAGGAGGATAAGAAAGTAAACAGCCGGTTTCGACATTGTTTTTAAATATTTTGTTTTGGGTGGATCTGCTGAACTGGTTGAGGAAGGATTTGGGATGGTTATGATTTTAAAACCAAGGGTAAAATATAATAATAGACCCCTAACGTTTAGAGAGCTTACATTTTGATCACCAAACTTTTGAAACTTACGTTATCGTCTTTGAACTTTTTGTTCATTTTCATTTCTATCCTCGTTATTATCTTTCGTTAGTTTGAACTGACGTGACACTTAACCCCGTAACCCTTCTGTTTTCTCACCCCAAATTCATTCTATTTTCTCAGTGATTTTCTCTTCAGCCAAACAATATCCTACTTCTTCTTGTTGAACTGAATTAACATCACAGAACACAACACAAGCATACAAAAGAGGAACAAGAGAGAAGATTAATCGAAACCCAAATAAATTCCAGAAACCTGTATTCATATAGAGCTTCAACAGACCCAAATTCCACAAACCCTACCTAAAATCTAAATGAGTTACATCCCTACCGACAATACTACTGCAATTGATGTACAACTCGAACTTTAAACTTTGGATTTGTAGCTCTATTTGGGTTTCCATTTCTGTGAATAATTATGGGGGAAGAAGACTCAAATTGGTTCTCCAGATGGGAGGAAGAGCTTCCCTCATCGGAGGAGCTTATGGCTTTTTCCTAATCCCTAATTACTCCCGATCTTGATCTCAACTTCGACATTCGCAACCCAAAGCATGCTCAACAGCAATAGCTTTCTCCTCCTCCGCTTTCCTCGGCTTAGCTGCCTCCTTCTCAACCCTCCTTATCCAAATTTGTCGTCAATTCCAGGGACCTAGGTTCAGAGGCAGTTGGAGATGAGCCCACGCGCACTCTCAAGCAATCTCGCCTCGTGTGGACCCCACAACTCCACAAGAGATTCGTCGACATTGTGGCTCATTTGAGGATCAAGAACGCTGCCCCCAAGACCACAATGTAGTTGATGAGTGGCGATGGCTTGACGAGAGAAAATGTTGCGAGTCATTGGCAGAAGTATTGCCTTTATTTGAAGAGGATGTAAGGCTTGTCTGGTGGTAGTGAAGGCGATGCTAATGGCGGATGTAGGGCCTCGGCTGATCCAGTGACGGACCATTTTTTTGCAAGCTAACCGGTTCCACCACACTTTCTTCATCCTGGTCGAGCTAATTTAGAGCATTTCTTACTCTTCGTACCAATGCCAGCACTACAGCGTCACTAACAAGGCAGCAACAACAACAAATGCCAGCAGCCGTGGTGGGGCATCCTTATTTGCAGTCTTAGTATCATCGGCCACAAATGGGGCTTTACGGGTCATCTCCAAAAAGCCAATTCGAGCATCCTTTCTTGTCTGGATGAAGAGAAAATCAATAAGAATAGGATGAATTTGGGGTGAGAAAACAGAAGAGTTCACGGGGTTAAGTATCACGTTAGATCAAACTAACTAAAGGAAAGTAACGATAAGGACATAAATGAAAACGAATTAAAAATTCAGTGATGCTAATGTAAGTTTCAAACGTTAGGTGACCAAAATACAAGGACCCTAAAGGTTTGAGAACTATTTTTATATTTTACCGTAAAACTAATTGAAAAACAGCTTCAAATGTTAATATGGGCCTCCAAGAAGAATAGAAGATTTGGCCCATTCTTTTTCGATTAGTTTTGGGCTACACATACATGCTTATGGTCTATTATTGTATTATATTTATAAATGTTTAAATATGTCCAAGATTTCTAAAGCTTTATTTTATATTTTTATATTTTATTTTTATGAATCAGAGTTTTTATATTATTTTTTTTAGAAACTGTTCATATTTCATTATATTCAATTTTCTTATTAATTGTTAAAATGAAAATTATAAAAAAAATATTTTAATCTTTTACGTTTATATTGTTTATTAATTTTAATTTTAATATTTAAAAAATCATTAATTGAAAAATATATTTTTTCAATCATCTATTTTTATAGTTTTATGTTTAAATTGATAAAAGTTAAAAACATAAAAAACTAAAAAAAAGAATTGCACATTTTATAGTTGTGAAGTAAAAAGTTAACGGTAAAAATAAATAGGGAAAGTACACAAATGGTCCCCGACTATATGGTATTATTTTGTTGAATCCCCTTGATTATTAAAAATTACAACATGGTCCTCTGGCTATTGGGAGACGCTCTATTAAAAGTTAGAAAATTGTCACCTGACTATTCATATGTTCCAAACTCGTGTTTCTTCATTAAAAAATTGGATGTCGTCTAAGTTAGACGTTAGCTCGTTGATTGGAATATGATAAAATATGATCTTAGAACCAAAAGAGAGATTTGCCCATTTTCTATTTAAAAGGATGAATCCCATTTATGTGGGATGATATCACGCATGAGCATCTCTTCCCCCTCCTTTGTCATTTTCTCTCCCAAAGGCTTCATCTCCTTTCTTTATCTTCTTCCTCAAGCCTAAGTTAGAAAATTGTAGTAACATTGTGGCCCTAAGTATGGGTTTAATAAGGTTTTTACAAACCTAAGTGTAACTAGCTCATTTTTGGAAGGATTTAAGCCTCAATAGATGTCCTAAACTCTTTCTTAAGCTTCTCAACAACATTATTATCTCTTGTGTTCGATTTCTTGTCTAGTGAGAGAAGTTGGAGAAACCCAAGGCCAAAGGAAATGAGAACTTGACCCTTGGTTGAGTTGAAGGAGTACCAGCAGCTTAGAAAACCCAAGTAACACAATCTTCACTCAACTCTACCACATGTAGGTCACAAGGTATGTTTGTTAGCTTGCATGAGTCATGAAGCATGTTTATGGTAGAATTTAGCATTTGGTGTTTCTCGACATGTTTATAAACCTAATATAAACCCTAAAATCATACATAAAACTTTAATAATGTTTGAGAACTTTAGTAGGACTCTTGGGAGAGTTATCAAGGCATTTTCGTGCCCAAAACAGGGTATTTCTAAGCTTAGGTATCAATACTAAAAGAATAGTACGGATAGTGTTCCTCATATGGTAAAAATAAATATATTTTGGGCTAGAAGTATCAATACTCATATATAAGGTATTGATACTATAAGTAAGGTATCGATACTCGTACGAGGGGTATCGATACCGAGTTTACTTAGCAAATTCTTGTATCCATTTTTCGTATCAGTACTCATGGGAGTATCAATATTAGGGGTAAAGTACCGATACTCCCAGTAGGGGTATCGATACTGAGGCATTTTTCAAAACATCGAAGCAAAATTTGGTATCGATACTCAGGATAGTATCGATACCCTATTACAGAAGTATCGATACTCGGTCCAGGAGTATCGATATTACCCTCTCTTCTCAGCACATAATATCCATTTCAGTATCGATACTCAAGGGTTAGTATTGATACCGAAGAGATCAATAATGGTACATACATATAGTTTTGGACAAAGAATCCAAATTGGTTAAGGGGTTAGACTTGAGAGGCCCAATAACACCAGAATGTCATGAAATAAAACTACAAGTGATAAAAGTAAAAAACTCATAATAACTATAAACAATAATAATTAGGATGACGTAAAACTAGCCTTGTTTGATGCTCAGGAAATAACAAGAACACCCAAGTTTACTTTAGCAGAGGACAATTATCTTGTTGGATATCCTACTCTGTACCAAGGCACTTCGGTTACCAATTAGGCACAGATGCCCCAAGACTCGACGGAGTGAGTTAGTCAGGTGTACGTTTTTGATGCAGTTTCTGATGCAGTTTCAGATCTTACCCCAGATACCCATGGGTATTTAGCAAGGCTAGAGGGGTTTGTGCTCTGAGATGCAAAACCATCAGCCATACTATGATTCGTACCTCAGCATTTCATGTCAATATTCTTATGTTTTTATACATATGCCACTAGCATACTCATTTAGTTAATGCATGTAGAATAATTATTAGTGTGATATTGAGTTCATAATCTTAGAGCTCAAAATTTGTTTTCGTACGCAGGTTCTTAGGAGACCGTCTATGAAGCGTTATCGTCACCAGATATTCCAGATCAACCGAGGCTTTAGAGTATGTCCTGATTTGTATTAGAGGTCATGTACTATTTATAGACCCATGTATTTAGTCGTAACTCTGTTTTTTTATTAAACTCAATGTTGTTATTATTTTGAATGGTTGAGAGCTCCCCCATATTTGTAAACCCATATTTTTTGCATTTTTATTTTATATTACTATGGATGGTTTTTATATAAAGATTTACAGTTGTTTTAAAAAAAAATTGGGTTAGCCACTTCAGAGGTCCTATGTGACACTTTAATCCTTCATCATTCGGGTCAAATTAGATTAAAGTGTTATATTTAGTGGTATCATAGGACTTGGGGTTAGAGTCAATTAATGTCTATACATGTGCATGCCTTTAGAGAGTTAACAGTACTATACTGACTGGAATGACGATAATAACCTCTATTTTTTCTAATTTCAAAAAAAACTCATGGCAAACGATCCATCGTATAGTCAGCAAGGTAGAGATAAGAGTCATGCCTCGCTAGCAGTCCACATAGGTGACGAGTTTTTCTCAGACACGGACCAATATGGCATACCAGTATACACGGGGTTCGAGAAGGAGACCTTCTTTAGGAACCTTCCATCAACCTTTAGGTAGATTGTCAAAGCTATACTCGTGCCTTAGTTATACTAGCTCTCTTACTAGTACCGCCAATTCAGTTCACCGTAGTACCCTAATAGTCCTAGTAGAGAGGCTCTACATATACAAGACCACCGACTTTTATGGTTCTAGGGAAAATGACCCCATAACGATAGACCAGTGGCTCAGGGAGACCCTCTGCACTCTCTGATAACTATACATTACCCTTGAGAGTAAGCTCGAGTGTGTCACTGCCCTACTGAAGGGTGACGCTATAGGTTGGTGGTAGATGATAGAGATGAAACTCGAGTCAGTGAGACCACCATGAGAGTAGTTTCTATCCTAGTTTTGACAAAAATACATCAGAAAGACTCATACCGATGATCTAAAAGAGTATTTCCTTTACTTAGCTTGGGGATTGGATAGTGATGG